GTTTGTCATAACTATTTGTAATAATTGTTATTGTAAATTGTATTGTTGTATGTATATTAAAACATATTTGTGTTAAAATAAAATTGTGTGCATCAATCTTGTTGGCAAATATCACAAACTGACTATATATCAGCATATGTTTAAATACAAAGTACAATTTAACTACTAAATTTAAATTATGAGTTAACTCAATTTCAGACCATTTGAAATTATAATACGTAACAGTATGATTAAGTAATATTTTATGTTCATGATATAACAAATTATCTTAAGCAAGATTAATAAATTCAACTGCATACTACTAAGTAAAATCCTATATCTGTGATTAACTGAAATCCTCTGGCTCTGATTAAATAGATTCTCATTAGCTACAATAGTAAACTGTTCTGGATGTAAAACACTTGGCTACGTTTGCATAAAACCATTTCACTGGTTGTGAATGAGTAAAATAGCTTTGATCAGTGGTAGATTTAGGGTAAGTTAGGGCACCTTGAGATCTAGTCTCCATAAAAGTACAGTAATGGCAGTTTATACCTTTGTTTAATTTAGAAGCAACAAAATATTTTTCATGGCTTTTATTGTCCTATAATTGATAAATATCGAAGACCATTTAACTGTCTCCTTTGATAATTTTTAATATAAGATCCTTATTGAGGTTCAGTAACTGTTTTATAAATATATATAGCTGTTAGTTTCTAATTCTTATTGCATGCCTTAGTTTTCTTAAAAATCGTGTATACTCTAGAATATATGCGTTGTTAGCAAAAGAACTAACAAAAGGTGGTATACAGCTCTGAATATCAGACTCAGCACTGTCAGTAGTCAGTGTTTTATAAATCACCTAGATGCAAAATTTTATTTCCATCATGCTTCACTACTGGCTACAAATACTAAATCGTAAGAATTCGACAACAAATCTAAAGTTATGCTCAAATCTGCCATACTACAGATGGTAGGTCCTATCATGTATTATATAATTTTTTATTGAAGTACTCTAAGCAAGAAAGGAATGTTGCTGTTGTTTTTGTGTGTATGTGAGTAGGCGTTAAATAATGTAATTGCAGAAATGGGTATAGTTTAATTAATTAAGACAAACGTCTCAGGATGGTAATTATTGATGGACATTGAGTTAAAACGTTTAAGTGTGAGAATACACACACTTTAGTAAAACTTGAAATATTTCACAAATGAATGCAAATACTGATTATTATTTTTCTCTTGATGATAGGCCAAAGAAGTGGACATGATGTCAGAGTATTATAACTACTTTATCACATCTTTAGTAAGTGAAATCCAAATAACTCTTAAGAACACTTTTAGGTATTCAAATTGTTCTGATGCTAGATTAAAGTGATATTTTCTGTGGTGATTTTGGTTTTAGATTAAACCTTCCAATAAATTTAAATTCTTTATACATGTTAAATAGAAGAGGACTCGGCATTTTACTTCCAATTGCAATGAATATGTTCCTTGTTTGTGTCATTTAACCCCAAGGTCTATATTAAAATCGTTAATTTTATATTTGTGGGGCTCATATTTTACGGCTATACTAACCCCTATTGAATTTTACAAGTTTTTTATTTACATCTAAGATGGCCAAAGGCTGATATGTGAGTATATATAATTTGTGTTTGACTTAGAATTTCGAGGACAATGTTAACATCCAAAATAATTCTACTAATTTCTAGCTTATGTCGTAGAGCCCCAAAAGCTATATTACCATCTCTGAAATGTCTAACCTTTTCTTAATTATTGCATTTTTAGGATTTGCATACCATTGATTTAGAAGAATTCCAATACGGAGGAACAAACATTTCAGGATTTCGACTGGTGGACGACACAGCTCCAGAGTTCGAAGATATTTCACAAGTATGGCATTCTGGATCTGTGGGATTCAGTCACCGTAAAACAAAAGATAAAACGTATCTTAAGGTAAAACTAATCAAATTTAGGAACATTATTTGTTTTGTAGAGTTTATTGTACGCATCTGTGCATACAGGATTTAACATCTTCATAGGTTTTTTTTATCCTTTCATTAATTAATACTTTTGGGTTCATGAAACTCATATAAGAAAAAGTCACATTTGCTCTGTCATAATTTAAGTTGGCGAAGTTCACTGATACTGAATGAAAGTAAACTGGTGTTTCAAAACCAGTACATTTAAATTAAGATTTAGAAAATATTGATTGACAATTATAACGTCCATGAAAAATGTACATCAACCTTCGGTACAAAAATAGTAAACTAAAAATTTTAATTAACATTTTACAGTAGAAACTTATAAAGTATCTATAGGCTGCATAGAATTTTAATTAAACGTACTTCCAGCTTTAAACATCTGACTGATCACATAGGTTTATAGAAGTGACGGGAGTCATCTTATTCTCGATCTAATATAATATACTTTCTATTAATATTAACTTCCGATCAGAGCATGCTACTTAGACCAAAACTAAAAATCAAAAAAGGTAATGGATATAGCTAATTAAATATAATTTTTTTTGCATTGTTACTTATAAAGATTGAGAAGCCATTGTTTCATCAGTTGGGTACCCTCAGACCCAAATATATCTCATGAGATTCGTCCAGTTTAGAATATTTAGGTTAGCCCTAAGTCCTTATATTGAGCTAACAATGCAAAATAACCTCTATAGAAGAAATATAATAATAATAATAATAACTTTAGAATAATGAAACAAGATATATTAAGGTCCATTATATTATCTACACATCTCATCTTGTCTACTGTAGATGATGTTGTTGTTACGTAAAATCTACACCTCTCATATTTTCTACTTCATTTTTTATTTCTATATATAATCTATATATATATACGCATCTTACTTTAGCTACTAGAAATGTTATTGTTGCGTATAATCTGCACATATAATATTGTCTATTAGAGATGTTATTATTGTGAAGAATCTATACATTTCATTTTGTCCATTATAGATGGTATTAAGAGACAAAACGTAGGTAGACAGGAATACCTTTTATACTATTCACACATCTTTTATTATTTCATGGAGACATTATCATTATCTAGATGTGTACAGACAACAAGATCCATCATATCATCTTCACAGAAAAATATAAAACCACCTTGTATGTATGTGTTAAAGATTTTTTTTCTTTACTCGAGGGGAAACTGAAAAAAGAATCTATGATTAGAAGTCTAATGCATTCTTTGATTGGCCGTACCGTAAAGTAAAACGGACTGAAAACCCCATAGATATAAAACCACTTTTCATGAATTCTTACCAAAGAATAAAATAAGCGCTGGTTTATCTTTAGGTGTGGTTTAAGTTTCCTGTTTGGTAGATTTTGTAAGAAAAAGAATTTATGAATCTGAAAATTTCGTTTTCTTTATTTTTCGACAGTAGTTCTTATAATCTATACCTCAATAAAATGTGCTTTTTTGAAAATTTATTCCAGTAGCTGCAAAGGTTTGAGTAGGAATTTTATTTGCTTCCAGTAATATGAAAAATATATTTAGCTCAAAAAGTTTGATTTCTCTAAGTTAGGCGTTACTACTGTATCGAACTTTGATACAAAGTTAACTGCATAAGTTTCAAGACTTGTATAAGCGAAATACAAATAAATGTCAGGTATTCTTCGTTATTCGCTTGTGTCATGTACAAAACTACCCATTTTACAAAACTTTAGTGTTAATATATATTTTACACTGCGTCAGTAGTCTAACTTTAAAGTCATAGAAAACAGGAATAAAAAATTGGAGATTATATAATGAAAATTTAAGAGTTTTGAAATTGTTGGAGCCTAAAGATTATATTAAAAACAATTACACCTGTTTCACAAAATTGGTCTAAATAACTAGATTACTCGACACTAATGAAGATGATAAGTGCGTGTTAGCATGATCTCAACGTTTTGTATGAAAAGTTCGTTAGGAATGGCGGTTAAGATAGGACATAAAAATATTTAGAAAATAGAATGAAACTACTCTTATACTATAGAGTGAAACTACTCTTATGCTATAGAATGGAACTACTCTTATGTTATAGAATGAAACTACTCATGTACTATAAAATGAAACTACTCTTATACTATAGAATGAAACTACTCATAAACTATAAAATGAAACTACTCTTATACTATAAAATGAAACAACTCTTATGCTATAAAATGAAATTACTCTTATAAAACAGAATGAAACTACTTATAATATAAAATTAAACTACTCTTACATTATAGAATGAAACCACTCTTATATTATAGAATGAAACTACTCTTATTTGTCAATATATCACACCATCCTTTGAATGGCGTTTACATTACTACTATTGGAAAAAACGTGGTAGTTGAGAGATTCACAAATTGTGATTTTTAAAATAGTTTTTGTTGTTGTTTTTAATTTGTTTTTGTATATCATAGTTTAATGTAAACTGTAATTAGAAAACTTCGTATATAGTTAGTAGAATAAAACAACAACACAGTCTAACTTACATGTATAATCTATACCTATCTTAGAAACTATACAAACGATATAGAAACATTAGGATTTCAGTGAGTCATTTTTCAATCGGTTAACTGGTTCATTTATTTCATATTAGGCAGATTCAATGGAGAATTTTATCAAAGGAAGTTAACTGTATCACGAAGTTTAAGTCCATCAAACCATAAACCATGTTATTTACAGTAACTATTTATTTGTTGGCGGACAATGAAAAAAGATATGATAACAAACATTGTCATGGCATCAAGTTAATAATACTTTGGAATCCCTAAAAGCGGCCACTAACCAATGAGTAACTTCGGGTTTGATAAGCCTAGTGATGGTGACGTGTTAAGTTACGAGTTTTGGGAAGATATGCTTAATACAAATAAATCGAAAATAACACATAAATTCAGGAAACAGCTGCTTTAATATCCAATGTTTAGCTTTACAGCTTCATCTAGAGCTTGTGTATAGCCTGGTGTTATAAAATATTATTTTATTTATTTATATTGCTTATACTACATTCAACTTTGCATTACATCAATCAGTTATCATTAATATCTCATTTGCAAGCGTATATCTTGAGAAATTCGATATATTTTTACTTTTTTTAGAGAAATGTAATAGCAAAGCAATAAAAATCGTTATTAAGACAAAATAATGCAAGTTTTTCTCTTATGCAAACAAGAAATATCCTGCTAAGTTTTAAGAACTTAAACTTTACCAGATGGGTCTTATGGATCAGTTATCCTCTCACCAGTGCGCCGCCAA